GTGAGATCGGCCAACGAATCTCTTCCTTATTCACTTTCATGCGAATTGAAAGTTTCCCTAACTTTGAGAATTGGTTTAGAGCATTGAGCTCTGCTCTGATGATGTCCCTGACATGACGGGCGAACATTCAGCAAGTATTCATCATAGTCGCCGTGTGGTGCACTAAGGATTTATTCACGCAAATCTACAGTCACAGTTGCAAGACAATCAATCCTCTTTCAGCTTCCTCTGGGACCATTCACGAATCCCTTTCACCCGTCTCTTAAAATAAGGCGAGAGTTATGTTGTACTTATTGACATTCAACCATAATTTACCATAATAACTAGCTTAGACTGGTGGTTTTGTAACCTAACTTCCACGCCTACAGGCTTATATATCTCATCAATTAAACCAAGGTTACTTATGGACTAACACAATCTCGGTCGTCCTTTTTCCGTGGGTTATTAAGACTTGATGACCTCTGGCTGATGGTAGGCTTTGTTATAATTATATTTCATTTATAAATAGGTTTCGGGATATATAACTTTTTTCTAATTACTCTGAGTTACGGGTGGTTTTTCGTAGAAACACACACAGACACACTCGAGTATAAGAAAAGTTACCAAACCTTTCTATATCCACTAATATCTTATTTTTTTCTCACCATGATTATCTACATTAAATAGGAAAGAGCAGGCCAGTCTTCTTGACCTAGCTTTAACTAGAGGTTTCTGCTACAATCAGTCCCAGCTCTGACGATTTTCGTCATATGACGAACCAAAGCTTAGTCCTCGTTTTCGCAACTTGGTCTTGTCGTCAGGGCGACTTAGTAGAACGCACCTAGTCCGAAGTCATCTGTCATAGTAGTTGTCATGATTCCCAACATCTGACAGGGGACTTGGTACATTCTTCAACGTTTCGCCGGCATCATAGTCGGCATCATCAATGAGGACGGCAGAGGGATAAGAAGGTAAAGAGTAGATAGATAAGCCAGGACAGAAAGAGGAGTGATAGTTGTAACCGTTTTCGGCAAAACGTTTGTCGACGGATTGATTTCACTTGTCTCTTCAACGAGTTCGTAGCTTGATGCACAGAATGGCAAAACTGACTGACGATGCCGACTATAATGCTGGCGAAACGTTTGAGAATGTACCAAGTCCACTGTCTAACGCTTGGAATCATGACAACTACTATGGAAGACGACTTCGGACTAAGTACGTTCTACTAAGTCGCCCTGACAACAAAACCAAGTTGCGATAACGAGGTCAACCAACTTCTATAAATCGAAAGGAGACTGCGACCATACCAGAGGCCACAACATCTTCGTCTTCATATCTTCAAAGCTTAGTCCGTTTTCGCCCGAAACGAGGAAGGATGTCTCGTGGACTACATCAATCTGAACGTCGTATTACAGCCAAACGGCTGCGGTGCCACGGGTATCGGCCGGCATCTTTCGGTCAGATCGACATACGAATCTCTTCATCATTCTCTTTCATACGAAATGACAGTCGTTCCAACAATCTTATCGCAGGACATCAATGTATTCAGGGACTCTTCGAAACCCAATTTGTTTCAATTCTTCTCCGGCTTCCGGCGAAACCAATTCCCTATTGAAAGAGCATGCCCCCAGAATGCTCTTTTCCCATACAGCACGAATGCCTTTAGCGCTCTTATCCTCCTTTTCCATGATAAAACGCTCTAATGGGTGATAGAAAGTGCTTAACCAGCTTGCTTACCTTCCTTGCGCATTCCTGTCTGGAGGCACTTCTGAAACCGGCAATATTGGCATTGATTACGATGATGCACATCGATGGGGCACTGCCGGTTGCCTCGACATGTGTAAGTCAACTTGCGGCGAACGGAGCGCTTAAAAAAGCTCTTACATCCTTCACATGTGTATTGGCCATAGTGCTTTCCGCTGCTTTTGTCCCCACAGACAACGCACTCAACACTCTGCCCATTCCGCGAGCCTGAGTCACCATCATCATCATCATCGTCATCCTCCTCTTCTTCTTCCATCTCTTCGTCTTTGCCCTCCGCCTCTTCCGCGTCGGAATTCTCTTCTTTTCGCCCAATCTCTTCCCTTACCGCCGCCCCATCCTCCTCTTCCTCCTCATCCTCCTCCTCCTCCTCCTCCCCCTCTTCCTGCTGCTGCTGCTCCAGCTCGTCGTTCGACTCTTCCCCACCGGAATCGCACACCTCGTCTCCACCTGACTCCATTGTCGGATCCCTCTTTTCGAGGCCATTCCATACATTTCGTCTCAACTCCGGTTGCTTTGAGCCTCTTTCGGCACAGCCATTCCGCCTGGGCCACTTGTCCGACGGACGTCGAGATTGCGAGACTCTGCCGGGCCGACCCTGAGTCTGCTGCCTTGCTCTGACAGCACCAGACGTCCTTCTCGACTGGACGTGTTGGTAGGCAGAAGAGCTTCGGAGGGGAGGCAAACTGGTGCCCTGATTGCTGCCGCCTGACGAGGCGGTGGAGGGACTTGTGCTGTTCTGAACTCCCGTCGAGGGTGATGCCCGTGGGGTGATCGGGATCGTCGACGTCGTCGGGGTTGTCGGGATTGTCGGGGTCGTCGGGTTTGTCGGGTTCGTCGTGGTTGTCAGGGTTGTTGGGGTCGCTCGAAGTCGTGACTGTTTGTATGTTTGGCAAGCCGAAGTGAAACTGGCCGATCTCGGTGTGGATCGAGCCGCTGTGGCGGTTGAGCGTCGTTTCTCGCCTCTACAATCAACCGGCCGGACGAGTCCAGCTGGTCCAGTCGGTACAGGGTTCAGCCAGTCACGATGAAGCCCACTCCCACTCGACGGTTCACATTTCAAGCCGGCCCCCGATTGAATAACGTCCGGCCAGACGGCCATGTTCGCCACGGAACCCTGAGGCCTGACGGTGAGGGGACCCTGGAGCAAAGACAGAGGGCCTCCGAGGATATTGGATCTGGGAAAACCGGCTTGCCAGAAGTGGGGCATGAAGAGGTGGGCCGGAGACGGCGATGACGACGAGGCGAACGGAGAATGCAGGGAAGATGTGGCAGGAACATGACTGCCGGGCAGGTTGAAGAGGCCAGGCCTTGACGAAGAACATTCGATCGGATGAAGGGCTGGTGTTGGGTCTTGCTGTTGCTGCTGCTGCTGTTGTTGGGCGAAAGCATGGGCCTGTGGAGGCTGAGCTCGAAGCATATTGGCCAAAGCCATGGCAACTGGTTGCTGTGGCGTACCGACCGACGGTGACGAGGCGTAGATGCTAACAGATGACGAGCAGGCTGGCAGCGAAAAGACCGGTGGTGATGGGATCGTGGTCGACAGTGCCGGACATGTAAAACCCGAATTGTCGTGGAGACTGGCGGTTGCTGAGGCGGTAGAGGGGGTGGGAGGGCGAAGCGAAGCAAATGTGAGATCACTGTAACCCACGCCTCTGATCGCATCATCACTCATCTTCACCACACCTTCATTTGACCAGGTCCGGGGCGGAGGGGGGCCGAACGGCAGAAAAGGGTGTGTAGGATCGGTGAGATTGAAGCCAGCAGACTGGGGATACTGAAGCTCCTCAAGAGCCAGATTCACATGTGGCAGACAAGACTTGAAGGCAGCCGATGTCACTACGGCAGGAAACGGCCAATGACTATCTGTCAAACTGATCATTTTATACGACCGCCAGCAACTTACCGGTTGCCTGGCAACAGCGGCAGCGAGGTCGGCCGGTTGTCAAGCTGTAGAAGATGCCGATCAGACTGGAACTACAGATTGCCTATCCGTTCTTGTGATAGTCCCAGGGTACATGTTGCGCGACGGCGTCGAGTCCCACCTGAACCGCAGGAAAGCGGATCAGTACCGAAACAAAGTGTCGACACGAGTTGAGCTGGCCTATTCTTCGCCAAATATCAGGCATGAACTGGAAGCAGAATTTGTCCAAGCCGTGGCGCGTTAACCGTTGTTGCCCCGAACACCGTTTTCCTCCGATCTTGCTCTCTATCTCTCTCTCTCTCTCTCTCTCTCTTTCGTTCTCTCTCTCTCTCGCTATCTCGCTCTCTCGATAAATCTCCCTCCACTTCCACTGCCAGCGTTCATTTCTGCAACCTCTTACATTTGCTATCCACCTCTTTCAGCCTCGCCTCTTCCCG